CTTGTGGTGGTACAACTTAAATATTTATTTACATACACCTTTTAGGGCAATAAATATTTGCACGAGTCACAACCCTACTTCAAACTCTAGCCTCCGGCTCCTGGAGGAATACAACATGATTCGAAGAGATAGCCAATATGACTCTGGTGGTGTTACTGCCTTCTATACATTTGAGTACCCCATTAGAGACCGCACTCTGGCACTCCAACTTGGGCGTAAATCAACAGGGGATAATACTGCAAAGCAGAGCGGTTTAATTACAATACGACATAATGACGCTCCCACCAGTAGCTCGTTCCATATACATATGAATTCGCCGCCTTGTTCTCTATTGCTAATGACTGGTAGATAATGACGTATATTCTCGACCAGTAGAGAAATAATTGGTAAAGAGTTACAAAAACGAGCTACAGGACCCCGCGTTATGGCAGTAGCTTACCGGATATTACTATAGCTAGCGGAAGTCTGGGAATTTCTTTGACTGCTAACTACTGTTCGCGGTCTCCCTGGACCGCTTGCCCCTTGTGATTATAATCGACAGTCCTACCTCGATGGCCTATTGAGTTGGTTTTACAAATGTGTTTATTGCGTTAACTGCTATGGTGGCGCAGTGCAGAGGTTTTCAGTAGCTTTAAGTGTATTCACTGCTGGAGAAAGAAGAGCAATCGGGCGAATTCCGGGGTTTCTTTGCAGGAACCACTTTACCAGATCCATATATCAGTAATGTTGAGAGTAGGCAATGACAGATTGAGAACCATAGCGAAGTATTCTACTCCTAACGGACCCAATTGATTTAGCATCAGCAAGAATATTCCATCAGGGTTAATGACTTTGGAGACTTTTGCCTTCCCGATGGCCATCTGAACTTCAGCGCTGATGAAAGCATGTTTCGTACTGAGTTTTGGGATGTTGTGAAGCCTACCGGTCACTCGAAAGTCTGTGGGTGTTGAAAGGGCAGCGAAGGTGTTGTGCGTAACTTTCAAATGTTGGTACGGTGGTCGTCGGATTTATCGATCCCGGTTTTTATGGGTAAGTTGCAATAACTTCATGACAATATATTTAGATAGAAATTACATTTAATGCAATACGCACATGGATACAAAAAAAAGGTAAGTCAACGTCGCCTATTGGAGAACTGTATTATAACAACTAAAATTTAACTGAAGATTGATAGTCTAACTTACAAATATTTACATAATCTATGTCAATATTCCGTCCACACTTCTTTTGCGAGTGTCCAGCACTCCGAGAAAAACGCCTAAAATTTCTTGGGGAGCATTTCTTCGAGAATCTGGATACCTTGGGGAAAGTTCATCTGGAAGGACTGCTAGGATTCGCCAGAAAATCAAAATGGTTCAAAGACATGTAGGAATAGGCTTGGGGTAACCCCCCATGGGCATCGCGAAGGGCCTACGTGGCCCTATGTCCATATTAGAGTAAGCAGATTTATTCTGAAAATTCGTCGTTTTCATTGGTTAAGAAAATGGATTAGAGTAGCTAAAATAAAGGACGCTGAAGACCGTTATGCAACTATGTACTTAAGATTGATCCAAAATAACTAACCTAACAAATTTAAGGCCTTAAAAGGACCTATTTACTGAGAAGAAAATTCATTTGGAAAAATGTTTATTCCAATTCTAAAGTGTCGGCGGGCAGATCTACCACTTTTCTTGCTAAATTGCATTTCTACCACATCTACCACCGTAAGCTTAAAATCTACCACATTTTATAATTTTGGATGATTTTGACATCTCTAATTTTCTGTTTTGAAATATGTGTTTGTTTTACTTTTACTTTAGTAATATATGTACATTAGTACCTAATATAAGTATTGTATCTTTTTATAGCCCATTAAGAGTCGTGATAAACTTAAAAGATTTCGTATTTTAATAACTACATTAGTTCGGGTATTATTTTACTATGCGCATATAGGAGGATTCTGCGTGTAATTCTAAGCAAATTTTCCGAAGAAACCAAGGGTCTAAAAAAGAATAAAATTAGAAGAATTCGGTCTAACTTCATCAAAAATTATAAACTTTTTACTATGAATTAAAAAAAATTGGGTATGCAGTTTTATAGCCTATTCAATTTAGGTATAGAAATGTGCAAATTTAAATGTCTTAAAATTCTCGGTGATTTTTGACCTTTTTTTCTGACGGCGTTATGCATTTTCTTTCATATAAAAAAAAAGAGTACTTTATATTGAAGAAAATGCTTAGCACTGTCGCCAAAAAACAAACTAAAAAATCAACGCGAATTTTTGAGACTGTTAAACGTTGCACATTATTATACTGAAATTGAATGGGTATTAAACTGCATACTCGAACTTTTTTTAGCTTATTAAAAAGTTTGAAATTTTTTATGAAGTTTTGTAGAACTCTTATAATTTTCATACAAAGCTGGAAACTTAGATTTATGTGGTGTTTGTAAAAATATAAACCATATTTTAATAAAAAGTTAGCCAAAAATTCTTAAAATGACAGGATACTAAATTTTGTGCGTGACTATAATTAAACAAATAAGAATTTTAATTCAAATAGAAATGCGTAAAAAAATGTTATGTTTTATATAGACATATATGTACATGTGTTCTGTGTTTTAACTTTTAGTTTAATGAAAAAAATTAATTATACGTTTATATTAAAACAAAAGAATATGTTAAAATTTTCACTATAGCGCCCCCAGGCGGATAGTTTAGGTTTATGTATGTATATTCATTCCAAAACAAAAAACTACTTGAAGTTGTCAAAACTTTGATTATGTAAGATGTTTTTTAATAAAATCGTAACTCGAGTATTTTCTACTTTCTTAAGGTGTCCTCAACAGATGCGATGTGATGTCGTATTTGATGTGATGTGATATCGTATTTGATGCGATTACGATAAAAAGCAAAGGCCCTCAAGCTAGTGCGATACGGTACACTGTGACACGATAAAGGTAAGTTTTCTGCTTTTTTAGATATTCCGCAGAGTTTGAAACTTGGATTTATACGATTTTTGTTCAAGAACTATATTTTTAGAAAAAAAAAATATTAAAATGAGATAATGAAATCAAAACTTGTCAATATGTTGGTGTAGCATAGTTATGATAAAAACTATATATATCAGGGAATCATCTGTTTTATAAAATTATTTGAAAAAGTATTTAGTCATTGTTATTATGAGTTGAAAATAAAATAAAAACCTAGATAAAATGCAAAATGTAGTCATAAATAATTTTTAAATAACTGCTTTCCTACAGAAATATTATTGGTAATCGTCATAAGTATAATCTCTGAACAAAAAATTTTCATAAATGAAGGGTTAAGATTTTTTAAATTTTTCGACGGCCATTCTGCGACCCCAAAAACACCCGTATGCCCAGTTTCATGGAAATCCACTAATTTGTAAAACTTTTCATACGCCATATTGAATCAGCCATTTTGAAGTTTTGATAAATGTCTTCAGATTCATACCTAGCGGGCGAAGATAAGAAGTGGTGTTAAAATTCATCAAAGTGTATTTGATTAAATAGTGTCGTTCAGCCAGATTTGCAGTCCGAATCACTGTGCAACCTCCCATTCCCACCCTGGACCATTCCTTTTGATGTCTGGGTCTCAGTGCTGCTGCTACAACAAGAATCTAGGAAAAGTCACTATAAGTTTTAAATGCTTGACTTCCTTTATTACTAATAATTATTATTTTCATTACGATTTAGTCATTAAGACTTTGCTTACAGTGCATATTCGCATTAACTCTAAATACATACATACATATGCGCATTAGGCATGGCTTTTTTCTAAAATTAAATATGTACATATATACGTACATATATGTACCTACGAGAAGAGGAATGATGAAAAAAATGTTTTTGTCAAAATTTGCTAAAAAACAATTCCCGCAGCATATGTATATGGAGAAAATTCCATGGTGAAATTATGCCAGGCTTTAAAAGAATTTGACACTATCTCATTTGAAAATTAACCTTTAAGAGTTTCTATAAGATAGCCGAATGCAGGAAACAAACCGAGAAACATTTGAAAACAATTTTTGATCGTAGTCATAATTTGGGGGAGTGATAAGTGCGAGAAGAAAGATTTAACACTACCTTTTTGAACATTTTTCTTTAAACATTTCTAAAAGATGGCCGAATGTCAAGAATATAAAGTGAGAGCTGTTTTATTATTTCACCTGTTTATAATTTCACCATGATATGTGTGCACAGGATTTTTTAGAACACTTTTCTCGGAGTTCGCTGCGGGAACTTTTTTTCCCAAATTTTTACAAAAACGTATGTATATTTAATTTTAGAAGAAAAGCCATATGCCTAATGTACATGTGTATAAATATGGTTTAATTTCTGAAATGAATAACTCAAGTGTTTTGTTAACTGCATATTATGAACAATAGCTTGGTTTAGTACATATGTATATTGTATTACAATAAGTATTAATCATGGCCACTAGTGGTTAGCTTTTTCGTTGATTTTATTGTTTGGAGAAATCGGTTAATATTCATTTAATTCAGATGTGGCATTAATTAAGTATACATATTCATGCGCTGTTCCGTTTTAACGCACTTAATCTGGCATGAGATACGATAAATCCAAAGGTAAAATAAATATATGTATGTAAATGTAACACTTCATTATATAAGCATTTAAAAATGATTTAAATTTCACTGAATCAATGAAAATATAAATGAAAAGGGCTAGCATTTCACATATGTATTTTATTCCTTGACAATTCCATTTGTTAAGAGCGACTTAAAAAGCGACCTTTAAAGCGACTTAGTTAATATTTTATGTGAATTCTTAGAAGTAATAATTTAATTTCCAGCGCGATTCTCCATCTACAAATCTTGTAGTGTTCAACATTTTTTGGTTTTCTTATTTCGTTGAATATCGGTTACCACAACTACTAACACCTTTATTCAAAAATTAGATTTATTGCATAATGCAGTTTATAATTTAGAATATCGCGCCGCAAAGCGCTAAGCAGTTGAAGATACACGCGCTGTCTTTTAATCTAAGCCATCATCAACGAATTCACGCTTTTTGGGCTCCGGCTTAGGTTCGTCTGCAGTTGGCGCTGCACCTGCTGAGCCAGCCCCAGCCCCAGCCCCAGTGGCAGCACCGGTCCCAGCACCAAAACCAGCAGCTGCTCCACCCAAGCCACCAAACATGTTAAATACATTATCCATGCCCAATTGTTTGGCCATGCTCTGCAATTTGGCGAATTTCGGATTGTTCTTATGCTTCTCTATATTAGCTGGATTTTTAGCAATATCTGCCAAAATCTCCTGGAAGTCCTTATCATTGAGGGCAGACAAAAATTCTGGATTGAAGCCTTTAGGTGGTCCCTGTGGTTGTTGCTGCTGCTGCTTCTGACGTTCCTTGGCATGTGCATGTGCGCGACGTTGTGCCTTCTTACTTTCAAGTTCAGCACGCTTACGTTCCTGCTTGATACGATGTTGCTCGATTTTCTTTGCATTGGGTGTAACTTCACGCAGCCATTCATCAGCTTCTTCATCGAAATCTAGTTTGCAAGCTTGACGCAAATCCTTAGCAGCTTTCTCCCAATTGCCCAACAAACGATGAGCCCGCCCACGGAATTTGTAAGCAGCTGCAGAGTCACAATTCAATTCCAAGGCCTTGTCACAATCACGAATACAAGCGTTGGGCTTCTTAAGCTTAAGGAAAGCCTGACCGCGTTTGGCATGGAACAAAGCATTGCCGGGATTGAGCTCAATGGCTTTAGTGTACAGATCGATTGCCTCTTCAAACTTTTGCTCCGAATAAGCGGCAGCTGCCTGTGAACGTAAGTCGCTAGCTTGATCGATTTCCTCCTCGGATGGCGTCTTATTTGAATCGCCCATCGGCTGATCGGCTTCAGTGTCTGCTTCAATAACGCCTAAAACGAAGTAAAACAAATAAATGAGTTATGCATGTAGCGAAAAATAATTTTCATAGTCCCAAAAATTTTGCTAAAATCTTTCTTCTTTTTGTAGCAGAATGTATAAATCGGTCAGATTTTTGTTATCAATTATGTTTCGGATATGAGCTAAAGCGGGTCGTGAATATAATTTTTTAAATACAGCGATTTTATTTTTAGACAGAAAGTATACTCAGTTGGGCCTTTTCCACCAAAGGTGCAGTAAAATTTAAGTAAAATTTTTGCTCTTTAACATCTACTCTCTTTGTAATATCAAACAATTGTAATAATATTACTTTTAAAGTTACTTGTACTTAGTCTGTAAGAATTTGTTAATTCATAGGTAAAACGAAATAAATAAATTTCATTCAAATGCGTAGATTGTGGCATGTGATTTTTATGTAATAAAATATATCAAGGACCGAGAAAAAAAGGCACTTATTGGGAGTTTTGTTCTTTTATTGTACGTTTTGAGAACGTTCCCGACAGTTTTGTTCGCATTTTGTTCTTTACATAAACGATCCCGAACCTTGTGTATTCCCATTTTGTTCCCGCTCAAACTGCTCTCAATACTTTCGTTCCCTTTTGGTTCTTTTGCGGGAACGTTCTTGTCATTGCATTTTGTTCCCGTACGGAACTAAACCAAAACTGGAAAGCGTTCTCGATCCATGAAATATTTACCCGTTTGCAACTTTGTAGATAACATCGGCACGGGATGACGGACATTCGTTCCAAAATGCACACCCTGTCGGAAACAACCAAAAAGTTAATATATACAGTAAGGCGGCGCGAAGTGCCTTTATTATAGAGAGACATATCCAGGCTAGCACAATGAAGTGGTACACCAACGGTTCTAGGACCCTTGAGGGACGGACTGGGTTGGACCAGAGGGAGAGGGGCGATGGTTGAGTGGGTGATGTGGAGTGGAGATGGTTGATGAGCCTAGGCGAGGGCTCTGCGGCCAACAGGTGTCTGTTCGGATGCGCACGTCTGTGGCACCCTACTAGGAACTGCTTCATAACATAGTGTTGCACTCCTTGACGGGGAGCATTTGGGCCACGTCATGCAGGTGGTGCTCGTCATTCTGCAAAACCGCGTGACTGACAATTGCTGCCAAAAATTGGATTTGCCCACCATTGTTGACTTTCTGTGAAACTTCGCCGACCCATTAAGCACGCTATCTCCTTGATATTATTTTGGAGTCCGTGGCAGCTTAGTTTAAGTCTGCCATAGGAAACTGGAGGCAATTCGGAGGTTGCGGTATTCATTAATGCGGTTGTCCACCTTGCGCTTATTGCTCTTACCGCTTTTAGGGTTGCGGCCTCGTGGTGGGAGTTGGCAGCTTCTGCAACAATGTGTCACTAAGGGTGCGTGTATTTCCAAACTATAATTGATGGAATTGTCAAATATGCGCAACCACTTAGTTGCGTAAATAAGGCATTTCCATAAATTATAGTTTAGAAATAAAGGAGACTGATGCTTTTTCTTGATGCATTTCTGAACGCACCCTTTTTAAATCACGAGTGATGGGCAGAGCATATCCTAAAGTGACACAAACTAAGGCAAGAATTGCATCTGACTTACTGTGTAACATTGCGGCAGAGGGATGGAATGGCGTAAGGTAAAAAAGTTCCAGGTGACGTACATATTTCTTCGTAATAAAAGTCCGAAGTGCTGAATAAACAAAACAATAAATTTTTTCCCAAAAATTTGATATGAAATCTTATGTTTTGTTACGATTTTCCTCCTCATTTACTCTAATGCGAGCTTGTCGCACATAGCTCTGACCCTTCTGGTTTTGAAATCATAAAAATCTTTCTCTGTTCTTATTACATACACATGTATATCGTCGTTTAAAGTACAAAACCGCGTATCAACAAAATGCAAAACCGCGAATGTGAGGTTGCATAAATTATTTTCTAGAGAGTAAAAACACTCATATTTCAAAATGGTTCTTTTTTTATAAAGCAATCGCATTTCTGGCTTGTATATTTCAGAACGAATGGATAATTGAGCCAAGAGCTTTGGTGAGCAAATCCAACTTTTGGCAGCAAATGTCAGCAGAAAGACGATACGCGATTTTGTACTTTAAACAACGATATGTATGTACTCAATTTGAAAAAAAAAGGATTTTAGTTTTGTGTACTTTATTTTGTATACGAATAGGCGTAAATAGATTAATCCATACTTAATGTTAAATATACTACTTCTTACTATCAACTAAAAAGTGCAGCGAATGAAAATCATTTAGAGCATATGGAAATTTTGTGCGCGTTCTTCGCTTTCATAACCGGCATTCATAATGTGTGGCTGATGCACATAGCTGATGGCTTGCGGCAAATGGTAGGCAGCTGCAGGCAAAGTTGCTGGTTGTGGGGCCGGTGCAACTTGTTGTTGTTGAAGCTGTTGCTGTAGCTGTTGTTGTTGGAGTTGCTGTTGCTGCTGCTGCTGCTGCTGCTGATGAATATATAGGGGCTGCATAATCACCGCAGTTGCCGCCTGAGGTGCATACCGCTGTTGCAGAAATTTCATAGTTTCAGTTGCATTTGGCGTTAGCTGCGTCCAGAAGCCCCCTTCTTCACCGGTGAAATCGGAAATGTTTGGATTCGTTTTTTTGCCCAATGATGGGCCTGTGGCTGTGGTAATAGTTATGTTGCTACTAATCACCACTGGGTCATCTACCTTCGCGCAAGTACTACTAGTAGCAATTACAGCACTAGGTGCGCTACTGTTACTCCTCTGTGCGCTGACTTTATGCGCATGCTTAGATTTAGCTTGCAGAAAAGCCAATTTGAAATCTTTATGAAATATTCTCCGGAAGAAACTTCCACTGACTGCGGGCTTATTAAGACGTTCCATTTCTTCTTTATATTCACCATACATTTTAACGATGTTCAATGAACTGTGCAGATAACGTGTCTTGTAGCTTTTGCAAGGCACCCAAGTCGGATAGCTGTTAATATGTTGGTGTACATCGCGCACAAGTTCCAAGGGTATTTTATTTTTCGGTGTAGCACGTCCGCGCATATCTTCGCCTGCATATGCACCTGTCTGTTTGTCAACATTCTTCTGTGCATTAGCCAAGAAATGGTTTCCGACACAAAGTGTTGCAAAGAAGAAACGTGAGCAGACACGTACATTTTCACCACGTTGGCCACGTAGGAAATAGCGATTGGTGAAAGTGCGCACTCGATTCGATTTGCGATACTCCGCAGCTGTTGTAGTTGTATTCTCATGCACTTCCACGCGTGACAAAACGAAATCTTTGCGCCTTTTGTAACCCAAGCGCCAGAAAGCCGCGCACAACTGCACACGTTGCTCTTCGGTAAATTTAGTGTGGCATTTAAAGCGGCATATTTCAGCACAATTCACTGGCTGTGGTACACGTATTCTCTGTTCGGATCTTCTTCTCCTGGGAGTACTATTTTCAGATTTTGGTTTTCTGCCTGGTGGTTTCGGTCGAGTCGGTGGAGTTGCCAAATCCTCCATTGTTTTATTTGCATCAATTGTGAGTGCTGAAAATTCCGCAGCCGCAGTTTCTACTGGCTTTGCTAGTGTTAGTTCCACAGGTTCAGTTGGCTTAGCCTGTTCTTCAGGTTCACTTAGATTAGTTGGTTCCTCACGTTCAATTGGCTTAAGTGTCTCCAAATTTTTAACATCTAGTACTTCTGGTTTACTTAAGTCATCTTCCATGTTAGACGGCGACTTCTGTTCATCTGTTGACTCACTGATAGAGTTTTTAGAAGAATTGCCAACATCGCCTGAATTTTGTCTCCGTTGTTTTGCCATTTCAGTTTTCAAGCGTCTCCCCTCACCGCTGCCTCCACGTAAATCTATTCCAGTAAATTTACCTTGGTCATCGGTATTCTCCAGCGCGCTTTTTACCAGAAAATTACTAATTACAAGTGTTTTCAGGAAGAAACTTAAACACACCCTTACACGCTCACCACTACTAGTAGTCAAGAAGTAATGATTTGTGTGTTGCCGTGATTCTTTAACTCTGTTTATAATACGCATCTTACCAAGTGGCATACGCTGTACACAAGTTAACAAATGATTCTTGCGCTCTACAAAATCAAGTGCCCAGAATTCTTTGCACAATTTCATACGTTGTTCTTGATCAATTTTAGCGCACTGTTTTTTGCATTTTTCAAGACAATTTGCTGGTCTGGGTCTTCGAATTTTCTTTCTAGGCTCATATTCACTAAGAATTTTGCGATTTTTGCGTCCACGCTTTCCTTTCTTTGCGCGTGCGATTCTTCTGCTACTTCGTGTTTGCCTTCGTACTGGAGCGACGACATCAGAATCACTACTCTCTGAGCCCTTGTCATTGTCATCCTCTTTGTAATTTTCGTCCTGAATATCGTTGTCAACATCGTTGTCGACATCGCTATCGATTTCACATTTCATGGCAACCGATGCGATATTAGTTTTAATAGGATCCTCATCAATATTGTCATCTTCTGCGTCAGTGCCATACACAGCCTCTACAGGACATTCATATTCTTCCTTGTCATCCTGATCCATATCAGATTCAGCAGAATGCTCATGCTCAGTTTTTATACTCTTTTGTGCCTTTTTAGCTTCTTTAGTGTCACCCATGTAAACTGTATTTGTGTTGATGAAATTTTCATAAGAAGTTGTGGGCGGTGTCCAATCCAATTCCTTTTTCTGCCTTTTCCGCTTAGTTTTTGTTTTAGCTGAAAGCAAAAGTCGTATACAAGAGCCGTGTCAGGCATAACTCGATAATTAATAGTATAATATATATATAACGACAAAGTAAATCTATCTACACAGACATAAAAAAGAAAAAGAAGTGACCTTAGTATTATCCTGACACGCCTCTGTATCGAAATTCGCAAAGCTACCCTAATACTCCTAACATGAAAAGCCACATTCGAAAATATAACCCTACCTCCGAGATAACCTTTAATTTTTAATCGACTAATCATTGTCCATAAACACTCACCTTCCATATTCAGCTCAACCTCAGATTCTGGTTCAGATTCTTCCACATCCGACTCTTCCGATTCATCGACGTTCATACCACTAGCACCATCACTTGCTGTCCCAGCGTCTCCGCCAAATGGACATTTTCTAAATATCGAAAAAAAAGATAATACAAGCTTACATATATATGTACATTGATTTATTACCCTCCAGCGGCTCCAGTAGGCATCTTAAATTCCCCTGGGGGCACTTTGCCTCCAAATTTTTCAACAAATTCCTTTACAAACTGCAGCTGCGGCAAATTAAGCACAGTTGGATTCTCAGATACAAAATTTATGAAAATTTTCAACTTTTCCAAGTCGGCGTGTGATAAATTGGGTAAAGCCATATTTTACGTCGCTTTGTTTAATCTTTCCAAGTATCGCAAAATACAATTGGTAGGGTTATTACTGATTCGACTGCTTTGAAAATCGTATAATTTGCACTATAGCAATGTACTTCTTACTTTTCCGATGCTTTTTAATATTTTTGGAATAATTATTTTCTCTAAAATGTCGGCAATTTGATATCGCGAAACTTCTTTTGGATAGCTTATGTGCAGGGTTGCTAGTGAAAAAATTGCAGCATTGCCAGAAATAATAGTTTTTGGTACAGTGCACTAACTTGGAGGCTACACGTATTAAGAACTTGAAAGCACATGATGAATCAGAAGAAATTGGCTGATGTTTATAATTTCGGCGCCATGTTACTTTCTTTGATATAAGCTAAAATTAAACGAAAGAAACGAAGACCAATCATAAAGAAAAAATTAAGAAATTTTTGCGCGCACGTTTGTGTCAGCAGATTTATTATTTCCGTACGTGTTTTTGCAGCCGAATATCGCGCACCTCATTTTAATTATATTTTAATAAAAAATTTATTGAAAATCGCTTCAAAATCACTGAAATAAACTACCACCAAAATGCACATAAAGAAATAAAAACAGAAACCGCAAGCTTCTAAACTACGAACGTTGCATATTTTTAAATTCAATTGCAAATGGCTGCTTGTCAACCGGTCAGACTTGTATAATTGGTTCATGAGGTGCACCTAATGTGTGGTTTGATCCCGTATTCCTCGGACTAAATCTAGTAAAACTCAAAAAATAAAAAGCAGTCAGAGCGAGAGAGTAACACTGAAAAGTACGGGATCGCTTTCTAGTAACAAATGGTAACTTCTGACAACTTAAACATAACCTCGAAATTTTTCTTGTAAAAATTTTCTTACTTTGTAAGTAAATACCCCTGCAAGAACAGTGACTATCATTTGACAAATCATTTGAGTGGGAAGACTGGCAAGTTTCTATCAAATTCTAAATGGCAGTGTGAAAAATCTGATGTAAACATTTGTGTACATGTGATCTTACGTCTTCAGCTCAAACATTTAAATAACCACAAATCGTAACAAATTCATTAGTATCCACTCAAACTTATAATTAAGTATTTTATACCATGCATTAACAAAGTTCACTTTTCTTTTGTTTGCAATTTGGTTGTCAAATACACTACAGCTGATCGTTTGACATATTTACCAGGATTTAAGGCCCGTCCACATAGAACTTTAGCGTTGGGTTGGCGTTGGCGTTGGCGTCGCTTCGACTATGAATACATGAATTCAAATACAGCCGTCCACTTAGCGAAAATTCGACAACGCTCACGCCAACACAAAGCAAAAATATGGCCATCTCTCAACTTTTCGGGTGCGTCTCTCGTCAGCTGTTGCAAACAAATAAAATGATGCGAAATATTTTTCCTTCTTGATCAAGTGCGGGCAAGAAATATCAGGGCTGTTCAGGATCTTGTGAATATACACTTGCATTTGCATATTCGTTGCATTTGTAAATTCACAACAATAAAATGCAAACGGTTACCATGGCAGCAAGCATAAAATTTGCAAATGCAATTCCAGCTGCAAATCCAAGACAATTTCCCTAACATCCTGAGGAGCCCAATCGTTTTTTAATGCAATTATTGATATGAAGCATTCTCTGCCAAACGTTCATACTTCTAACGTGCGTTCTTCAAACCAACGCCAAAGCCAACGCGAAATTTCTGTGTGGACCGGCCTTTACCAGCAAAAAATCTTCGGACTAAAACAGGAAACTTCTGACAAAGAGAAGACTTTTTTACTCTCTCATTTGTCCTCTCAGTTGCCAGAAAACCGAGTACGGCCAGATCGCCCAGACAGGTGACCAGTGATATGACCGGCAGGTGTCTTTTAATCGTCGCTTCGACAGCTCGTCAGCTGTTTCAAATTATCAAAATTATGCGAAATAATTTTCTTTTTTAATCAAATGCGGGCAAGAAGTATCTCGCTTGCGTGACGACACAATCGACGGAATCAAAATCAATAATATTACGACAATAAAACATACCAAAAATATTTTTTTGGAAAAAGTGTGGTGGGTTTTGCAAGTTTTTTTTTTCAAAGAACCCTATTTCTGACAATTTTTTTTTTTAAGATAAAGGAGTAATTTTGGCTCAATGACAATATTTTTTAGTGAAAGGGAATAATATTAGCTTTTAGAATCTTTTTGTTTCATATCAAAATATTGCTTCTGTCTAAAGCCCTACGATTTATTCCCATGGGGTGTTCAAAAAGCACACTGTGCGCCGCACATGCTCACACTCGCACTGGTTGTCACCAACCCTGCGCGAACTTAGGAATTTGAACGTTAACGTTATACCCAGGGCGCATCTATACAAGGTGGTGTTACTTGAACAGCTGATATGATATTTTTGTCTCTGCATCAATACAGAAGAATGTCATCCAAGACGAAATGTGGTACAGGATGTCAACAAAACGAAATGGCGAAAATTGTCTCCTATTTCCTTTCGTTTTGAAACTATGTTGTACCAAAAAGCAATAACAAAATACCCGGGGCTTTTACTTATATGCAATTGCTACCACCTTATATGGATACCCCTTGGTTAAACCGATTTCCGCATTTGCCCCTATGTGGCTGCGGACGCACGTACATGAGCGTGTTTGCAAGTAGCGTGCGAGTGTCAGTAGGTATCAGAGACATGTTTTTTGAGTAGCAGTGTTGCGAGTGTCTTTAATAATCATGGAGGAAGAATTAAATGAAGGCGTGCGAAGTTAAAAATATTTATACGACATAAATATATATCCATAAAAATCAAATTTAAAGATTCAATCTGGAGACGAATTACTGACGAAATAAATGACAAAATCACTAAAAGCTCATTTGTGCAAATGCGAATGCACACGAGTCGACCAATGTCAGCGCAGCACCGTGAACGGGTGCGAGTGTGAGCATGTGCGGCCCGGCTTAAGAACGCTGAACAGCTCAGTGGGAGCGTGAACGTGAACATTCGTAAATAATCCATTGTTATTAGTGGTATTCATCTAAACCGATAACTTTACCAAGCAGATAATCTTATAAGTTTACGCACTCTGTTACATGAACGACCCACACTGTCTTTTCGTTTACACATGCGACAATAGTCGTGTTTTCTTTGGTTATAAAGTTCAGTATCACTAAGTTTATACTAATAGCACGAGGATAAAGAGGAGATAGAATCTGTTTAAATAAATATACATATAACATAAAGGCAATTTATTTGAAGGAAGTTAGAAGAAACAATGGCAGAATGTTTGTTTGTGTATGAATTCATTTGTTACGTCTACCAAACTTTGCGGCCAAATTATCGGTGAAACAAAACAAACAGAACGGATAACAATTGAACCAGATCTCTATCAGGATCATATCGTTGATTTGAATTTGCGTGCAAAATTTGTATGCGGATCCCGATTATTGTCCAAGAAAACATAGCTAGAGTTGCGACAGAGTTGCATTGGCTTCAGTTCATCAAGTTTATTCAGTAAAATCGCTGGATAAATTTATCAGAAATGTATAAACGAGTTTCCATACAAATTTTGACAGCTCATTTATAAGGTTTACACAATTATAAGTTTATACGGTTTACAATGCATTTATAAGGTTTGATGAATACCCTTATTCTTTTGCGCGCTCACACACATCTGTCAAAACTTTTTTATTTGCCTGGGCATTTGACAGCATACTTTCT